GACTTTGTTATCAGCTAACTAATCGTCAAAGCACCCTGAGTCACTTATCGGTACTAAGGCGGTTTTCAGGAAGGTTAGGGCTTTTCTATAACTGATCCACAAAACTCATAGACTATGATGCATGGGCAAAATTCACAGGTGGCGCGAAAAGCCCTTTTAGAGCATAAATGCGACAGTTGGACTTTATGGCTTAACAAGGCCGTTCTACGGGAACTGGGTTTTCGTTTCGGGGCAAGAAAGCAAGTGAGAAGTTAACCTAACCGACGTCTCAGAATATCCTGAGTAGGGGGGAAAACTTAACTCGAACTTTCTAGCTGGCGTTTAACAAAGCCCCAAGTTAAAAGAAGATAGCGGAAAGCCATAAAGGTAGTTTTGCGACATAAAAACCCAAGAAGAGGTAGCAGAAACTGAAAGGTGAATAGCGTGGGAGGAGAGCAGAAGAAGGCTTTTCCATTCGCCCTGCCCTACGCGTTAGTAAAAGGCAAAGCGCGAGATTAGAACATAAACTGTAGTGAGGTTTCCGGCGTTAGAGCTCTGAGTGGCGACGATGACAAGGTAGGCCTAAGTTAGACCACCTTACAATGATAAATAATGGAAATATAAGGAAAGCCGAAAAAAGAGAGCACTCACCCCGGACAGATGCTGTTCGATTGCAGTTGTAGAGCAGAGCCATTTCGCCGAAGGCCCGCCCAACCTCCATCCTGCCGAGAACACGATCGCCTTTCGTTACTTCCAGCTTGCCCTCTATAATGCACAAAAACAGTATGAAAGGCTGATTTTTGTACACAAAAGGTGTTAGAAGGCAGCCATTGGGACAGTTGAGAAACTAGCCGAGGAACTGAGAACACGTATATACGCGGCAAGGACTATATATGGTGCTCTGGACAAAAGTAATAGCTTAAAACTCAGACACGTGTTACGCCAATATGTCTGCTGCTACTGCACGACGAAGCAACTAGGAGTTGGCTCCAGCATTCCCTAATGTGATTTTTAGTATAAAAACGCCAAATAATAAAGGGAGTAGTTTCGGTAATTAGATACGCGACCAGGCCATGTCCTGGTCACTTAACCCCGTGTCATACACTGATATGCGGAAAGATTTCAGGTCTAGATATCTTATCGCATTTATCATGTCCCGAAGGGGAAAGAGGACGAAGTTATGCCCTGAATTGCACTTTTACTGATGCCTCGGAAACTGCCTTGCTTCTGTCATTAGAGTAACCGTTCGCCTCGTAATATACACGCGTGGCGTATGCGCGAACAGCACGGGAATTGAAAAAACTCCCCCCCTCCCCACCCTCCGGGATGGAAGCAGACACAAAGTACACAGACGAAGCCCGCCTTAATGGCGTAAACGGCAATCGCTGTGATCCTGTTTGCGCTTCACTGTGACCTCAAAATTTAGCTAATGGAGTCCAGTAATCGCAGAAAGTAGTAGAGGTTTGCCATGGGCGATGAGCCTTGGGTAGGGGCTAACAGAAAAGAAACGCCGTTTGCGTATTTTTAGGGATTTCACCTTGCCCGG